CCTTGAATCTAGAGCAGTTCAGTCTAAGGTGCCGGATCATCTTGATTTCTTAGAATCTGTGCTTTTCCTTGCCTCCGTTAAACTCTAGTTTTCTTACTTGCTATTTGGTTTATTTTTATTTTCTAGTTACCTCATGGAACGGATGAAAACTGGCTTCAAAAGCTGTATAATAATTTTGTCAACAAGAACCCTTTGTTTGAGAAACCTAGAATGTCAAATGCATCCTTTATCATCCAGCACTTTGCTGATAAGGTACGTGAGTGCCGTCTGCCTGGACCGGAGCGGTTTCCAGGAGTAGGCAGCCAGGGTACATCCTTGTAGGATTCAGGCCACACTTCACACCGAGCTTTGATGAAGGAGGTGTGTATGTGTTTAACAATTCTTAATTTGTTTTTATGGCAAAATATGAGTTTCAATTGTACTACTTTGAAGATAAATGTGTTGTTAATAGACCTCATTTCTGATTTTGAGTTTACAATGAATTCATTAACCTCTTATTGATCTGTTTTTTATGTGAAGTTGTGATCATCAGATGGCATAATTATTTCCTGTGATGAAAGCTATATCTTTTTTTGAGGTTTTTTTATTAAACTGGGATAAATTTATTACAATGGCAACACAGTTTGACTCAAGATGATGGGTTTTCTAGGTGATGTTTATTTTCTTTATATAACCTCCTTTTTTTTTTTTACTAAACAAATGTTACTTTCATAAAAAGAAAAATTATTTTTAAAATCACATTACAGAAAGGTTGGAAAGTAGAAGGAAAAAAATATCACCATACCCGCTTGCCCTAAATATACATCTCATTTGTTCTTCTTCCTTAAGGGAACTCCCACCTCCTCCCGTTTCCTGGGGTGGGCGTGGGCTGGAGGGTAGGGAGGTTGTTGCCCTGGTGGCCTGGCCCGTTGCCTAGGGGTCACGGGCATGGCTTGTGCTTGTCTGCGTCTGTCACGGAGGCTGGTGCTGCAAGTCAGAGCGGGCCATTCCTGAGTGACTGAGGGGGAGGTGTGGGGATGGTGACCTGGAAAACTGTAATCACCTTTGTGTGCTAGCGGAGTTCTGTTAAATATGGTAGGATTTCAGGGCTTCCAGTTTTACAGATAGCTTCCTGAAAAGATGCCGATGAAACGAATGATGATATGTCAAATTATATTTTCTAGGTGTTCTTTATAATTTCAGGATTCTGTTCCCATGGGGAAAGGTTAAAAAAAGACCAGACTCCATAAAAAGCACATAAGCGATTTACTTCAAGAGTCTCTCTTTATAGTACGTAGTTTCGGTACATTTGAGTCTTTCACCTGCCGTTTCCGAGAAGTTCACCTTAAAAGACATGCATGGCGTTTTGGGCGGACTGTGGATTGGTGGGAAGAACCCACACACATTATAGGGCTAGATTAGGTTCTCAATCTCATTAGCCAAGGAAATAAAATCATATTGAAAACATGGCAGCAACTCAGCGACTCTTTCGCTGGTCCAAGTGTCCCCAGCAGAGGCACCCAGCTGCCTGTGACAGACACTGTCCCCACAGATGGTCTCCCTGGACCAGGAAGCCTCTATATTTCCTACCCTTGCCTATTTATACTAGTGGCTCACACCACCATTCTGGGAGAATTTGTACAACAACCCATGTACCACATTCACAAGGAAATGTTTACAAAGGTGTTCCTGGTTCTTAACCTACTAGCAAAGACACTTCCTCACCCAGGGGGACCCCCTCTGCCTCCAGATTCTAGCACCCCCAAAAGCCTGTTTGCTCATTATCAATTTTTAAAATTAATTTTTAATATCTTTTTTAATTTATGAAAAATACATATCATGATTTTTTAAAATATGTATTTGTAAAGCTCTGA